TCTTTGTAAGTTGCTTTGAACATAATGCTGAAACAGTCACCGACACAAACCGTAGACCGAATTAGCTGATACGACTTATCTTATGAAAGCGCAATGTAAATGGAGGATATCCGAGAAATTGGATTTTCCCAGAAACGAGTGAGCTGATTGCTCTCTTGCAACGCAGGATTGCCAGTCTTTTTGTAGCAATTAAAAATAAATTGAATATATGGGCTGACAACAATAATGCAAATTAATCAAAACAATTTTTATAGAACTAAATAACTTTATTTTAATGTATTGCCCATTTGATCAATGACCTTTGCATCTTTCAAGCATCATAATCCACGTTCATAAAACTTCTGGTTTTTATTAGCAAAAAACTGAATCGATGGTACGATTTGACATTATCATCATTATTGAAATTTTTAACATTCAAGGAGTTTTGTAAAGATCGAAACAATAAGTAATCCGATGGTGCAAGGTCAGGACTATATGGTGGATGTGGCAAAACATCCCAACCAAGCTCCAATAATTTTTGCCGAGTGACCAAAGATGAGTGTGGCCTTCATTGTCATGATGGAAACAACACCTTTTCGACTTATCATTCGGGCCGCTTTTCTTCAACTGCATTGTTTAATTTCGTTATTTGTTCAATGTAGACAACAGAATTAATTGTTCGGTTGGGTGGTAAGAGTTCAAAGTAGACAATTCCTTTATAATCCCACCAAACTGATAACAAAACTTCTTTTGATGAATACCAACTTTTGATGTTGTTTGAGCTGGTTCACCTGGCCTGCTCCACGATCTTTTCCGCTCGATAGCAAATCGCAGCTGTTAATGCGTTCGTAAAATGCGTTTCTTTCAGTTCGTGAGGAACCCATGTATCGAGTTTTGAACATAGCCAAGTTGTTTTAAGTGATTTCCAATGCATGTATGTGATACCTGAAGCTTATCTGCGATCTCACGTGTTGTATTGTGACGATCCGAATCGATTATTGCTTTGATTAGGTCGTCATCATTCAACTGGACGACTAGAGCGTTTTTCATCTTTGACTGAAAAATCACCAGAACGAAATTTGGCCAACCATTTTGACACTGCTGTTCTTTTATGGCTTCGTCGCCATAAACAGCACATAACTTTTTGTGAGCTTGCGATGCGTTTTTCCCTTTGCCAAAATAAAAAAGGAAAATATGACGAAAATGTTCCTTTGATCTTCCATTTTTCAACGAACACCAATCGAAAACTACGCAACCGATCAAAAACTTTTTTTACTGATTGACAGCTGTATTGCAAATATCAAATAACAAAATGTGTTTTACATTTGGACTACGCCAGCTAACCTAAAAATTCAACTGAACCTCCATGAGTGAAATCCAATATTAGTTGCCAACCCAATATTTGAAATATTCTTAAACTAACTCAGTCGAATACAATTATTTATATATGGTAGACTATTTTATAGTTGGATTTTCCACTACGGGTTAACTTGATAAATTTGGTTTAATACGGGCGGTAAGTACGAAAGGCGGAATGTCGGTGACTGTTTCAGGCATAAGTGTATGACCTTATAAAAGTGGTCGGCATGAGGAACTGCGACTGTGTAGGTGAGCGCGAAGTATATAGACACCCAGTAAAACTTACCTTAATTTTGTGAATATTTTTCATTCTTTGTTTAAACAAAGTACTTTCATGCTTCCTGATTTATTTTATATATTGTACGATTAAAATAAATACATTAGACCCTAAAACCTTCATTTAACTGTCCTTAAGTAACGAAAACACAAAATGTAATCATAACACCATAAACATTCATTATGACAAAAAATTTCGTGCATGGCACTTCTCTGACCATTCGCAATATTGCTTCGTCGCTGTCTCGACAACGTGGTGGCATACGTGTGAAATTAGATTGCAAATTGTGCTATGAAATGCCGACCACTGCATACTTAGAACTTACGTCTACTTATAATTATGCCTAACCATCTTTTCCTGCTAAATGTAGCCCGCATATATATATATTATTTTTATACTTTAGCAACCTGTTGCTACAGAGTATATAGTTTTGTTCACCTAACGGTTGTTTGTATCACCTAAAACTAATCGAGTTAGATATAGCGTTATTTATATATAAATGATCAGGATGAACAGACGAGTTGAAATCCGTGTGACTGTCTGTCCGTCCGTCCGTCTGTGCAAGCTGTAACTTGAGTAAAATTGAATTCTTTATGAAACATGAATGTTTCTTGGTACCGTAACACGGTTAGTATGGATGGGCGTAATCGGACCACTGCCACGCCCATTAATCAAAAACAAATAAGTTGCCATAACTAAGCTCCACAATAAGACACAATAACGTTATCTGGTATACGGAATCACATTAGAGAGGGGCATCTGCAGTTTAAAATTTTTAATAAGTGGGCGTGTTCTGCCCCTAATAGGTTTAATGTGCATATCTCCTAAACCGCTAAAGATATAATAACAAAATTCACTGAGAACAAATGTTTTTAGCACCTCTACGGACAGTGTGAAGATAAGTGAAATCGGGTGACAAACCCGCCCACTCTCCATATAACGAGACTGGTAAAACTATTAAAGCGCGATAAATCAAGCACTATACACGCCATTGATTTAAATTTTATCTCTGACGTTCAAAATGGCGTGGCACCGCCCACTTTTAGGTGAAACCCATATTGGGATCTGCTTAACCGAGTTCAACCAAATTCGGTACATAACATTTTTCTGTTATTTCTATGTTATAGAGCGAAAATGGATTACAACCACGCCTATTTCCCATATCCCACTATTTTAAATTCCATCTGATTCTTTCACTTTCCACTATGCATATCAGCAACAATGATATATCGGGTAAAACTTTGCGGAATATGCGTTTAAAGTATGCCACCTTCTAACCAAAAATTATCTAAATCGAACCAAAAGTGTTCAACCGCTAGTACTGAATATGTGGACCCTAAATGCCTATAGTTGACTTTTATCGAAAATACTCAAGTAATGTAAGAATATATATTGAAATTCATATAATAAAATAATCAAATGAAACTCTCCGTAATAAGTATGTTTTGTAGTCAAAATAGGTTGAATCGGATCAATACTTCCTTTAATATACATTTTGCCAACACCTACGTAATTTCTCCCTTGCAAGTGGCGAGTTTAAAATGTTCATTACACCCGAACTTAGAACTTCCTTACTTGTTTTACTATTTTAGTTAATGTAGTAAATAAGCGAAAAAAAAAAACAAAACCCATAAAAAGCAACGAAAACACATTGTCATAGTTCTAATAAAATATAACATGATTCATACTCTATAGAAATAAATATATTTAGTATGTACATTTGCAGAGCAACGTAACGGTAAAAGAAATGTAAATATATATTATTAAAGCCAAAACGACATGGAAAACATCATAGGAACCAAATAAATTGCATTTATGATATAATATATATGTCTACCATATGTTCCTTTTAATACAAATTTACATATTATTTTACAATAATATTCATAAATATAACCAATATTTTTATCCAATATAATACTTTCAATAAAAACAAAGTAAAACTATTTTATATATGTATGAATATAAACGACATTAATGAAAAAAAATTTTGCAAATAAACTTTGAATTGATAAAATGTACTTAATACATAAATTAATTTGTGTTATTTCCATGTAAATTATTTATTTTTATTTTATACTCTCGCAACATGTTGCTACAGAGTATAATAGTTTTATTCACCTAACGGTTGTTTGTATCACCTAAAACTAATCGAGTTAGATAAGGGTTATGTATATATAATGATCAGGATGAAGAGACGAGTTGAAATCCGGGTGACTGTCTGTCGTCCGTCCGTCAGTCCGTCCATTAAGCTGTTAACTTGGGTAAAATTGAGATATCTTTATGAAACTCGGTACACATGTTTCTTGGTACAGTAAGACGGTTGGTATTGCAGATGGCGTAATCGGACCACATCCTCGCCCACAAAACGCCATTGATCAAAACAAATAATTGTCAAACTAAGCTCCGCATTAGATACAAGACTGTTATTTAATTTTGAGATCACATGGGAGGGTATCTGCAGTTAAAATTTTTAATAAGTGGGCGTGGTCCTGCCTAATAGGTTTAATGTGCATATCGCCTAAACCGCTAAAGATATAATAACAAAAATTCACTGAGAACAAATGTTTTAGCACCTCTACGGACAGTGTGAAGATAAGTGAAATCGGCGTGACAAACCCGCCCACTCTCCATATAACGAGACTGGTAAAAAACTACTAAAAAGCGCGATAAATCAAGCACTATACACGCCATTGATTTAAATTTTATCTCTGACGTTCAAAATGGCGTGGCACCGCCACTTTTAGGTGAACCCCATATCTTGGGATCGCGGGATCTGCTTAACCGAGTTCAACCAAATTCGGTACATAACATTTTTCTGTTATTTCTATGTTATAGAGCGAAAATGGATTACAACCACGCCTATTTCCCATATCCCACTATTTTAAATTCCATCTGATTCTTTCACTTTCCACTATGCATATCTAGCAACAATGATTATATCGGGGTAAAACTTTGCGAGAATAATGCGTTTAAAGTATGCCACCTTCTAACCAAAAATTATCTAAATCGAACCAAAAGTGTTCAACCGCTAGGTACTGAATATGTGGACCCTAAATGCCTATAGTTGACTTTTTATCGAAAATATCGGTCAATGTGTAAGATATATAATTGAAATTCATATAATAAAATAATCAAATGAAACTCTCGATAATAGTATGTTTTTGTGTCAAAAATGGGTTGAATCGGATCAATACTTCCTTTAATATACAATTTTGCCAACACCTGACGTAATTTCCCTTGCAAGTGGCGAGAGTTTAAAATGTTCGGTTACACCCGAACTTAGAACTTCCTTACTTGTTTTTTACTATTTTAGTTAATGTAGTAAATAAGCGTGTTTGCATAGTTCTAATAAAAATTAACTAAATGACTTCTCTCTTTATAGAATAAACTGGTATTTAATGTACTTTGTCCAGATGTAAGTCACAGCTAAGGAAATAGATACTTAAATATATATTATTATAAGCCGAACATGGAAAACACATGTATAGGAATAAATTGCATTTATGATATAATATATATGTCTACCATATGTTCCTTTTTTAATACAAATTTACATATTATTGTTACAATAATATTCATAAAATATAACCAATATTTTTTTATCCAATATAATACTTTCAATAAAAAACAAAGTAAACTATTTTATATATGTATGAATATAAACGACATTAATGAAAAAAAATTTTTGCAAATAAAAACTTTGAATTGATAAAATGTACTTAATACATAAGTGAATTTGTGTTATTTCCATGTAGAATTATTTATTTTTATTTTTATACTCTCGCAACATGTTGCTACAGAGTATAATAGTTTTATTCACCTAACGGTTGTTTGTATCACCTAAAACTAATCGAGTTAGATATAGGGTTATGTATATATAAATGATCAGGATGAAGAGACGAGTTGAAATCCGGGTGACTGTCTGTCCGTCCGTCCGTCAGTCCGTCCGTGCAAGCTGTAACTTGGGTAAAAATTGAGATATCTTTATGAAACTCGGTACACATGTTTCTTGGTACAGTAAGACGGTTGGTATTGCAGATGGGCGTAATCGGACCACTGCCACGCCCACAAAACGCCATTGATCAAAAACAAATAAATTGTCATAACTAAGCTCCGCAATTAGATACAAGACTGTTATTTGGTACACGAGATCACATTAGGGAGGGGTATCTGCAGTTAAAATTTTTTAATAAGTGGGCGTGGTCCTGCCCCTAAGTACTAGGTTTTTAATGTGCCTTATCGCCGGCTTAAATACCGCGCTCGACTAGTATTATAATAGCCCAATAACTAAAATTTCACATGAGCCCAGAAAAATGGTTGTCATTAGCACCTATACGAGAGCAGTGTTTGTAAGGATTAATGCAATAGCTTCTGGGTGTGACATAACCCATGCGAGGGCCACAGGGTGTCGGGTCCAGAAATAGATCGAACTGGAAAAAAAACAATATCCCTAACTCGGAAACAAGCTGCGATATATATCTTCCAAGCACTCCATATTATCAGTCCGCGGCCATTGATTTGTAATGGTGCTTTATTCCTTTGCGCCGTAGGGTTGAAGATTGAAATACTACTTCTCGGTCCAATTCAACTTTTTTGGTTCAGTCGTACCTGAGACGGTGTATTTACGAAATCCACTAGGCCACTGTAGAACAGATAGCGTTTGGTTGGCCCGCGCGCACTCAAACCAAGTCCTTTGTTGGTCCTAGGCAACATAGCCTTTGTCGACAATGTAAGGGGTCTATTGATCACCGGGCCCCTCAATAAGGAGTGCCTCACTTTTAGTTGGGTGTACCAACACATACGGACGGCGTTTAGCTTGTCCAAGTGTGATCTTCTAGAAATCGACCACTACCTACCGCATAAACTTATTCTACCCTTTAGATAGATCTGACTTACATCCGTCACGTTCTGCAACCAGCACGAATTCGTGGTACAAAGCCTCGTAAACCACTTTATCAAGCCTGGTCTGTTACATATTTGACTATTAGATTTATGAAAAGCTGCGCGAAACTTGGATTATACGGACCCAACCACATGTCTGGGTGCCGCATGATTTTCCATATTGCCCAACTACAACTCTTATTATAATGTTGGCGGCCCGACTTCTTATTTTAAATTTCCATCTGATCTTTTCACTTTCCTACTATGTCCGAATAATAGATTTTTTCAACGCTAACAATGATTCCAGTATCCAGGTCGAGGAGCAGTACCTAGAGAAACAACTTGAATATTTAGATCCCAATTTGTCGAGTAGAAATCTTAATTGTTTCATGCGTTTAAAGTATGCACCTTATTTTTCTAACTCCATAAATGAAAAGAGTAAAATTTTTAGCAACTTTTCCCTCTTTTCCTATTATGGAGGGGGAATGCGATCCAAGAACACAAACCTGTTGTTTCATACCTCTAGCGGCTTTTTCCTGAATCGTGCTAGGTAGGCGCTGAGAATAGTCGTTGAGATCCCCTAAAAATGGGCTAACCAGTAAAGGGTTTCCAAAAAATTTAAGTTCCAATGAAACGTTAATTTTAGGATCTGAGATAGAAATATACGAGGTGATAGAAATTGTGACAAAATCAACTGGTTGTGAGGCATAATAGATAGTATTTAATTGAAATTTCAATCACTCAGAACCTAGACCCATATTAACCAAGCCCATCAGACGTCAGTTTAATATTCAAAACTGTTCATCTTATATTTGGCCGGAGGTAATTATAGGTAACACACAAAATTCATTTCAGGGCAGTCCCTGGCCATAATACGTATTATGTTTTCGTATGGTTGTCATATAAAATGGGTTTTGAATCGGTATCAATACTCTTAAACGTATATACAATTTTTGCCAACACTACTAGGTCCTTCGACTCGTTAATTTCCCTTGCCAAGCTGCCGGACCAGTTTAAAATGTTTTCGGTTTACATCCCGAACTTAGAACACTTCCCTTACTTGTTTTTTACTATTTAAGTTAATGTAGTAATAAGTCGTCGGTTGCCATAGTTTCTAATAAAAATTAACTAAATGACTTCTCTCTTTATAGAATAAACTGTTATTTATGTATTTGTCTCAGATGTCAGTCACAGCTAAGGAAATAGATACTTAAATATATATTATTATAAGGAACATGGAAAACACATGTATAGGAATAAATTGCATTTATGATATAATATATATTCTACCATATGTTTCCTTTTTAATACAAATACATATTATTGTTACAAATAATATTCATAAATATAACCAATATTTTTTATCCAATATATAACTTTCAATAAAAACAAAGTAAACTATTTTATATATGTATGAAATAACGACATTAATGAAAAAAATTTTTGCAAATAAAAACTTTTTTGGAGTATTGAATTGATAATACTTTAATACATAAGTTGGAATTTGTGTTATTTTCCATGTACAAGTGAGGATTATAGTATATTAGTTTTTTTATGTTTATTTTGTTTTTGTACTCTCTGCTGTTTTATTTATACTGCACCACATTGTTGCAAAATGTAGAAATAGTTTTATTCACCTAATACGGTTGTTTTTGTATACACTAATACTAATCAGTTAAGATATAAGGGTTAGTGTATATATAAATGATCAGGATGAAGAGACGAAGTTGAAATCCGGGTGACCTGTCTTGTCTCGGGGCACGTCACTGTCCGTCTAGTGTCGGTCAGTTGCAGTTAGTCTGTAACGTTGTGGAATTAATAAATTGAGATTTATCTCTTCTATTTGAAACTCGGTATCAATTGCATGTTTGATCTTCCGAGGTCAAACTTAAATGTAGTAATAGGAGCGGCATGTTGCTCGTTATTCGTAGGTAAAAACTTGCAGGATGGGCTGTTACCCTCGAGAATATATATATACACCTGTACTCGCGCTTCGAGACGTCACTGGCCACGTTTCCCCAAATGAGTGATCGATGTCCTTGTCATCCCACAAAACTGCCATTGATTCAAAGATCAAAATAAATAATTGTCATTAACCTAAGATGCCCATATATGTCATGCAATTGAAAAAGGACTGATGCTGCCGTTTGTTTCTTGCACAGGTGGAGAGTTTACTACTGCCTCCGCAATTTAGTACAAGACTGTAATTTGGGTACATCTCAATCACCAACACACAATACAATCAATTAGGTCGCAAGGTGCTAAGGCACTCAGTTAAATTTTTTTTCTATCCTCTTTGTATATATTTTTTAAGAGGAGTGGGCTGTGGTCGTGGAGTAACAACTATATCGTAATGACAACGTCTAACGGACTCGTGTGAACGCCATGGAAATGATACAACTCGAGGAGTTTGAAATCTAAACTGTACTCCCTCTTCTATCCCTTTCGAAATGCCCATCCCATAAGTACCGTGTAGCGATTAACAGGTAAGAGAAATATTGATGAAGGGTCCATTCGCTCGCTTTATTAAAAAAGCCGAAAATGCAACTTAAACGAATTTACTCTAGGTGGCGGCAAGATAAGAACTTCTTATATAAGGCGAGATAAATTGGGATTGGATACCCCAAGTCAGGTGTGTAAGAATTTGTAACGCACGATGGTTTTAATTATTCCTACACCGACCTAGAGCGACCTACCGTAAATGTATCCAGGGATTGTCATGCATGATGCCTAACTTTTTATAGGGAGAACTTCCCATTGCGATATCCGTGAATGGGCCGAATTTAGAACAGTGTGGTGGTTTCGGTGGGAATTAACTTTTAAGCTGACATTAAAACATGGCTGGTCCAAGTAAGGTCCCATTAATGGCATAAGTCATTAGACCCTTTTAAGTAACAAGAAAAACATCACAACATACCACTACTCCCTCAAACTGGAACTAAAAGCAGGGGTAAAGACTCTCTCACTTCTTAATTAAAGGGTTCGCTAACATAAGCCTATCAAAATTCAGTATGCGCACACTATATCGGTTTTGAACACTGTTTTTGAATCCTTCACCATGCAAGGTCACCAGCAAATTTGTATATATGGTTTGTATTTCTGGGAAGTGCCCAACACACTCAATGTACTCACTTCGTTCCCAACGAATGGTATAGATAATTCTGGAAGTTCATTTTTTTTTTTTCATATCGCGGAAGTTCTCAAAGCTCCAAATGTTTGTAGCTCACTAAACCCACTCCTTTAATGTTTTCTCTTCTATTAGCAGACAATTATTATAAAAGCTTTCTATCTTTTATTTCTAGATGAACAGCGTTAAAAAATGGGCGAATCCAAGTCGGATTAGTACTACCTATTTACTTGCTAAGAAACCAATCGCACTAATTTTATAATCATTTTACCATTTGATGATTTACCATTTTACTCACCATCTCCCCCCAGTCCTATGATACTTTCTATGTAAACTTCCAAATACACCTTAGTGATAAAGTCATAATTAAGTACAATGCAAAGAATTAACTTAATAAATGGTCGGTAAAAAAACTTTTGCGTGAAAAATAATACGGTAGTTGAAAGCCGCCTTTATAAGTATTGTCACTGTGACAAAAACCAGTTTTTCTAACCCGTCGGAACGCGGCATAAAAATAACTGTTCAACGGTCCAGGTACTTTCCAAGCAATCTTGGCTGTGTCCGAAAACATCTGCGGAGTTAAAAACCCTTATACTATTAGAACTATTTTTTTTTACCGTAAATTAATCTGCCATTGTGTAAGATTATATAATTGAAAATTCATATAATAGAATAAATAAATGAAACTATGATAATAGTATGTCTTT